CTGTCTGGTGTGATAGTTATCGTGGGAATCGTGTATCATTCGATTTGGAAGGTACGTGGCGGAGATACCCAACTCTAACTTCATGTGGGACTTGTACTCAAGCCGGAAAATGGTGGAGACTGAGCACAACTTCTTCGTCAATGGGTGAGTTCTGTCGGCACTCTGTGAATTCTCTCCTTCCCTTGTAGTGTGATGCTTGTTCAGGGCGCAATACGCCGATCCGTCATCCCTTATGTGGAGTATAGGACCGACGGTAAACCACGAGAGGGTAGAATATTGCAAGTTGGAGCCTCGGCATTGTGAAGTTAAATTGCGGAGAGCTTCCTCAAAGAACGGGGATGAGAATCAGTGGCTTCGGGTGAGACTTTCGCTGGTGCCAATTTGAGGAAAGAGCTCGGCCTCAGGGATTCTGGCTGCAGCGAAAACGAGGCGAGATAATCACCGAGGGGGAACCGTTGTTCTGGTCTTACGATGGTGGAGCTGGGAAATTCGATAGGTGGGTTTGCAAAGGCGTCGGTGTGGAGTGTCCACGACAGAGACTTCAATCTAATTGGCGCCCCTCCACCACAAGGATGGATCTCAACTGAAGAGATCAAGAGCCGACGACGACGTCGTGGCGGTGGTCATGATAAGAAGTTTGAACAATCTACGTTGGTACATTAGTGTAAATTTGACGTTGCATGAGGTAAACGAAGCGACTATCAGATATTGTTCGCTCCCTTTGTTTTCTTATCATTAATAGTTGCAAGTCCTGGCCAACGATGATTTGTCTAATAGTATTTTTGTGTTCTATAGTAAGAGAAGACACGATGAGAATAGCAACCAGGTGTGTTGATGGATAGTAGGATGAGCACAATATGAAACTCGAAGAATAGGGATCAACTACCGTGCGTATATTGTTGATAAGCATTGTAAAAGTAACGTTATTGTATACACTATAATATGATATAAGATTTTTCTCGAAAGAAATGCACGCTTTTCTCATACACTTGTCGCACACGAGAAGTGTATGAATTACATGGTATGTTCAACAATAGACCTCACCGGTGCCTGGAGAGCACACCGAGGATCGGACTTCAAAGGCAAAACTCGATCTTGGGAGCGCTCTCGACACTGTGGCGGGGGCCTTATTGAACAACACTATTACGTGCTTCTCGCATCAACTTGAGGCTGACAAGACTGCCGAGAGGGATGTTTGGCAGACGTGTTCGCCGTCGTTGGAGGTTCATTTCTAATTCTATCCCAGTTGCGTTGATGATGGGAGTTTGGAAGCACACATGATACGAGCAGATAAATTATCAAGAGAGTTGAGACATATCGGTGTCACTCCTCCCCTCATTGAGTTCAAGAGCTATATAGCTGCATATTGCTCCACTCACTTTCCCAACACAATATAGAAATGTGAATGAATAATCTCATAATATTGGACCGATAAATCAATCTGATCTATCGCCTCTTCCCAGTCACAGTATTCCATCCATCAGCATCTGTAGTAGTAGTAGTAGCCTTCTTCCCATGGGAGGCAGGTGCCGCCCCGGCCTTCGAACTTGAGTCCTTGTTCGCCGCAGTCTTCTTGGGCTTCGGGGCTAGGCTCTCGGGCTTAGGGAAAACAGGAGCCTTCTTCGGCTGCTTGTGGGCACCACCTTTCCTCGGAGTGCGTTGCTTCTTCGTTTTCTCATGGTCACTCTCGACAGGGGTAGACCGGGACGTCGGTTCCAGCTGCTTACGACTGCTTGAACTCCTCGATTTCCCAGTAGTTTTGGCCGACTCCTTAACCTGAGTGACCATTTTGGTAGAGTCGCTGCGACCGAGGGATTGCCTCAGAGTAATACCAACCCACAGTAAGCCGGATATGGCAAGTGCAATGAATACATTGGGAAGGGCACGCTCAACATAAGAGCCATACTGGTCACCAAGTAGCTGACGAGAGTAGACGCCAGCAGTTGTGATGGTCTGTCCGTAAAGATCTTCCAGAGGTCGGGTGTAGGGCTTAGCCTGTTCATACAGATGTCTGGCGGCAGGCTGAGCGGAGTCTTGATACCATTTCTGGACAACCGGGGATGCCTTTTCATACGCAATCTGAGCTCTCTCAGAGAGGCCCACGAGAGTGGTTCGCACTGTGCTGTAAGCCTCGGTCACAACAGGCCTCGCCTTTTCGACCACTGGCTGTATGTACTCGTGCACAGCGTCCAGCCCGGCACGGATTCGCTCGGCTGCAGTAGTGTTGGCCATTTTCGGAAAAAGTCTGGCAAAATCTCATTAAATTCCTCGGCATTCCTTTTACGGACTTCAATGACGATCCATAGAAATTATAGACTTTACTTCACATCATGGGTCAGTCGACGCTGCCGGGATCCGCGACATTTCCGTCCACCGCCTCTTCGATTTTCGTCATTTTCGATATGATCGACTAGTGCGTATCGTTCCTTAAATACAATTTGCCTAAGTGCACGAAATGCAGGGAAAGATCACTTTGACCGTCTCGTATTTGCCGCGTCTCCTCAAGGGAAAAACTTGTGTTGCACTAGTTCATTGTAGTATGCGGCTGCTTTACAGTACGTCCTTCATCGGCCTGGCCTTCGCCGGGCCTGTCGCTGACAAAGCGCTAGAGAGAGTCAACGTGGTAAGTCGTAATGGCTAACGCCGACGGTCACAGAGGAGTTCGCTCAGGTTTGTGATGGCGTTAAGGACCCCAAGCTTGACATTGATGTTGAAGATAAGAAGAAGGCTCTCGATAAATTCGTTGGTACCAACGTCATTGAGATGGTCATAACCGACGAGCGATGTGAGACCTCACCCACACCTCAGTTTCGTAGACTTTCTTTTTACTAAGGTCACAGTGACAACGACGACATCTTGCAAGAGTGCATTGACGATAAGCGTGGTGATTTCCAGTCCGCAGCTAATCGTGTCGGTGGAGGCTTCACCCTCGCCTTCCTACTGCTTATTAGCTGGATCGTAGGCATGAGTGCTCCCAGCTGTCCATAGTCGTCACTCTGTTGTAGATTGTTCTGCCCTGTTTCTTGTGCCGCTGTTGGAGGAAGGCCTGTTGTTGGTTCTGTCTCGGCGAGTCCAAGCATGGTCTCCGCACGCCTAAGCAGACGATTCGATTCGCCTTCATCATCATCGGCCTGCTCCTCGCACTAGGCCTCCTCATCGCTGGCTCGGTCGCCATCGCCTTGCAGGACACTATGAGTAGCGGTGCCGATGGAACCTTCTGTGAGGTGTATAAGCTTGCTAACAACTCTCTCAACGGTTACCCTGGCGGAGTAAGTCGTCATCACTGGTGCTCCTCACGCTGCTGTGTTTCTATCAGGAGTCTACTATGGCGAATGATGATCCCTTCATTGGCCTCATTCCTATGATAGACTCGGTCAAGGACATCGTCGAGGAGGTAAACCCTAATGGCAGTGGAGAGCTCATGCCTGGCGTGGAGAACATCCTACAACAGACCCGCACCCTGGAGTGAGTTTCCCCTTCCATATAGTCCCGACATATCTGCTTCCTCTTTCAGCCGCGCTGTCGCTGACCTTACTGGTTCGTTGGAGAACATGCTCGCAACCTTAGGGAAACCGGAGAACATTCGTGTTGGCGAATACACCTGTGTCTTCTGTGATGCATGCTGCGGGGGGCCGAACCCTTTAGTTGCCCAAGTGAGCATTTACCCCACGTTACATATCTTGAGGAATCCTGTTTAAGGTCCTGGATGAACTCAAGGGAAGTGCCGCCGGAGCACTCAACGAAGCCCGAGATAGGGTACGGTCGCGGTCGGCGATATTGAGGAAGTATGCGTGGCCTTTTAGGTTCGACAAGAGCTCTACGGTCAGAACCTCGCGACCCTTTATGAGGAGGCTTCGTCGGCTATACAGCCACTTGACGAATTCCGTGACGTCTTTGAGGATAATATCGGTGACGCACTCATCAACAACGAGCAGGACATACGCGATGTGAGCTCATCGAGACGGAGTATCAGTGCGACGTGTTCATAGGTGTTGGACATTATCAGCTCCGCCACACTCGGATGGGCTGCCGGAGTCTTCCTCCCCATACTGGCCTTCATCCTCGTCATTATCGCAGGCTGCTTCAGGTCAGCCGCGCTAGCTCTTTCTTGTTGATCCCCAGTCCTTTTGGCTTGTAGGAAGCCCCCGGAGGATCACACTGACAAGGTGACGAACCCTTGTAGTGTATGTATGTCGTGCTGCTGCACTTGTCTCTACGTATTCATAGCTTGCTATGTCTCTGGAATCGTAAGGCTGGCCCCGCTCGTAGCTGCTCCCAAACTGGTGAGAATAGGTCATGATTCTGGCCTACTTTGAGGGTTCTATCTGCATGATCATACATGACGTCCCTAAGATCATCAGCATGTACGACGACATTCAAGGCTTCACAAGTACCCGAAGAGGACTTTCTTGGTTGCCACACGCTTGGTTCAGATCGGGATGGTCCGGTTCGTCAACTCCTGCCGTCCCTGCCCTCTCCACCTTCCGGCCGTTACCTTGCTTCCGAAGCCGATGTGAGCTCTCTAGAGATACGCATCGTGATGTTGGTTTGGTGGTAGGACGTTAAACAGTTCATTGGTACATGTTTGGACCCGGCCGGCAACGGTGACATTTTGTCTGCTATTACGGTGAGCGATGGAAAGACCCTCCGAGACACGTTTAACGTTGAGGTAA